CTTTCCCATTCCGTAGTCATCTCGTATTAAGGAACGCTAGTGCGGACACCGTAATGCACGTAGTTGTACGTAATTGTCCAACTCTAGGTCGAGTTTTACCGTTCAATCTGTTACAGTCGCAACTTGCTGAATAAAAACTATTGCATAATTCAGACAATTGACAGGACATCTTGCTGTTTCGTCGTTTGTTTCGGTAGACGTATTTATTTATATTTCTATTTATTTTTACATGTCTGTACCTCAACCATTAATTTTGGTGATTATTATTATTATTAGTATTATTATCAGTATTATTATTATTATTATTATTATTATTATTATTATTGCTACAGACTGAGTTCAGTACACACTAGATATATTGACTAGAGTTGCGTGACCATGGCGTCCAGGGCACACACAAAATCCAACTTCTCACGTACTCCTGCAATGTTCGAAGAACGTTGAAGTTAAATTCCCTTTGAAAAGTAAGCGCGAGTCAGAAAAGAAAAGATATGAAAGCTCGGCAATCGACATTTAATGCACATCATAACACTACGTAATACTATTAAAATTCAGGCTCACCAACACGTGCAAACTGTGGTAAACCGGGAGGCCAGTAAACCGTGGTAGAATCCAGTCTCGCTCTTTTAATTAACACTATTATGAACGACAACGAATAAATGCAATATCGGCAGGGAAAAAAAGAGGAGAAACTTACCGAATTGGCTCTGCTTTACGGCAAGGTGAAGTGAAGACTATTCCATACAGCAACTACGCCATGTAATGGTTTCGTGCCAGTCTTCACATTCGATGACGTCATGCCCCCAGCAGATCGCTGTTCCATTTGCGGTTTGTATTTTTGGTGGTTTCTGCGAGATGCCTTGGCGGCTGTTACCACCAAAAATACAAGGATGTCGTATAGATCAGCAAATACAAAGATGGCTTAAGGATCAGCTGCAGAATAGCATAGCTAATAAAGGAATGGCATGGCCTTCACGTCACGCCACGACGATTCGCCACAACATCGAAATATTTCAAGTAATACTAAGCAATTTAATGTTCAGATTGAGCGTCTGATGTTTTGCAAAGCTATTCGACACTATTTGTGTCTACGCTGCACCATTCTACATTACGCTGAGCCATTTCACGCAACGCTACACCATTTGTGTGTACGCTGTACCATTCTACATTAAGCTGAGCCATTTCACGCAACGCTACACCATTTGTGTGTATGCTGTACCATTCGACATTATGCTAAGCCACTTCACGCAACGCTACGCTGTTTGTTATACGCTGAACCATTCGACATTACGCTAAGCCATTTCACGCAACGCTACACTGTTTGTAGGTACGCTGTACCATCCGACATTACGCTGAGCCATTTCACACAACGCTACACTGTTTTTATGTACGCTGTACCATTCGACATTACGCTGAGCCATTTCCCGCAGCGCTACACCGTATGTGTGTACGCTGTACCATTCTAAATTAGGCTGAGCCATTTGACGCAACGCTACACCGTTTGTGCGTACGCTGTGCTACTCGACGTTACCCTGAGCCGTTTAACGCAACGCTACACCGTTTGAGTACTGTATTGCAAATGAGTGCTAAGCTATTCGTAATTGAGCCAGTCCATTTCACAATCTCATGTTCCAACTCAACATGGGCTACTAGACAGTTTCTCATTTGGCTAAACTATTCATGTTTAGGGTGTTCTGTTTCACGAAGGAAAACTAGACTGTCTATAATTTGGCCATGCCATTCCTTTATTAGCTATGCTATCCTGCAGCTGATCCTTACACCATCTTTGTATTTGCTGATCTATTTGACATCCTTGTATTTTTGGTGGTGACGGCCGCCCATACAGTTCAATGACATTTTTGCAGTGTATACCGATGTTTCTATTCTCGTGATGTAGCGTAGACATGTTTGATTCGTAAACAAAATTCTGAGAATAAAGCACCAAGTAAATTATTTCCTTTATGTCTTGTAAAATGAATGGAAAACATGCTAACTAATGCTCTTTTCGAATAACAATGAGCATGTAGCTACTTCGCTTCTGAGTAGAATAAAAAAATGAAAGAATGATTCTTTTAATAAAAATTTGGTCTCGAAATATTTCTTGATTGTTTTTGCTTTGTCCTCAATTCGTAGTTTTCGGGTAGAATACAATTACCTGGGAAATCCGACACTGCTGTAATAAAAAACTCCTATTTTCGAGCAAAGCTGTGTTTTAAAAGAATTGGTTCATGTTTTAGCTGTGCGTATATTGAGCTCTGGATGCACTCGAGTCACTCTCGGCTGCGGCTCGAGCAACTCTTTCGCTCCTGTCATGTTCTCCAAACATCTCACGTGCATCCGTAGCTTTAAGCATGGAACACCTCTTTATTTTATGTTATTAAAAATTAATTTAGGAGGTTAAAAAACCTCTTCACAGAAATTGACTCACTTGTATGCCTCAAATAGTTCTTTGCACGATGTTGCACCTGAAATTCAGCAGAAAAAGAAAAGATATAAGGAGAAAGCCCCACTGTTATTGGCTGTAAGACTCAAGCGGCGTAGCATCGACACGTAGGTAATGTTAGGTCGTTCTGCTCTGTCGTTTGTTGTATATATGTCGGGAGTAGGTCGTTGGCATGGCACCAGCAGTTGTTAAAATCTATTGACGGAAGTCTGTACTAAGTTATGGAGCCAGCTTTCCGGAGTCAGTCGTTGAAAGCAATTAGTGCTTTAAGTTAGACATTGCGCAGAATGACAGTGAAAAGTGCGGTTTGTGCTTCGATTATGTTCAGCAAAGTGATTGACGTCACACATAGCATAACTTTTACTTTTCTAACAAGACGAGGGCAACTAGTTTGCAACATGGCGGTCAGCTTGGCGGACGAAAGCAAATACCTGAATCGTGTTATAATATGTTTGCCCTAAGTTTAAAACAGTATATGTAAAAAGGAGAAAAATTCTTCATTTTAAATCATTACCTTTTTCACAATGTTGTCCAATATAGTCGTTTTTACAAAGACATGTGAACGTATCGTCCTGATAATTTGCCAGACATGTACCACCATTTTGACACGGCGCAGAAATACATTGTGACTGAAACAACAAAATTATAAGCTGTTATACTCTCAGGTAATTTGATTTTATCAACTAAGTTGATAACGTAAATTGGCTTCAAGGATTTTTGAAGCTGACGTTTCGAGCGTTATTCCTTCGTCACAGTTTAGGGCTGACAGACAAAGGGCTAACACTCGAAAGTCAGCTTTGAAACTCCTTACGGTGGATTTGAATCTTTATGACATCAATGTAAGAAACGCATGTGAGAAAGTCAAATCCTTTTTTTATTAGAACAAATTGAAAATATTTTGATTGCTTGGCCTTTCTGGTTAGCAAAAGGAAAAATCACAGAACAAACTAACAGATAAAAAAAAGGAACGCAAAAGAAATTAAAACAAAGGAAGAGTTAAGTGGATCTGAACCAAAAATTAAAATCATTTTGTTTCATTTTCTTATGATGTGTTTTTCAGGTTTCTCTCTCTTTTGGTATCTTGTTTTTTTCTTTCGGTTTTGTTTTGTTTTTTTCCTTCTGTTTTCTGTTTTTGTTGTTGTTGTTGTTGTTGTTGTTAATTTTTTATTTTGTTTTTTTTGTTTGTTTTTCCTTGTCTGTTTTTTTTTTATCTTTTTTATCATTATTTTTTTTTTTATGCCGTTATTATGTTATTTTCGCTGGAGTTTTCAAAAGTTTACCTTTCGGAGTAAATGATGCGAAGTCTGGTTTCCTTCGAACTTCTAGGAGTTTTGGTATTTATCAGAAGAAAGCAACTCGCACCAGATAGTTCCATCGGCTCCTGTGTTGCTCGCCAAGTTTACAGAAACGCATGACGGTAGACGAAGACAATTAAGCGTACAGTCAAACACGTCCGTCACCAAAAACGTCCCAATCTTGATAACATTCAGGTAATGGAACTTGTCTTTAACAAAGGCATGAAATTCATTCATTGAATTAAAAGTCAAAAAAATAACAGGTGATGAGTTTACTCACACATCCACCTTCCCTGCCCCCAACCCCCCCCATCCACCCCTCTACTCGTATAGCTCTTACAGATTAAATAAACATGAGACGTTAGAACAATTTTGTCGTGAGCATGATGAAAGTTTTCCTCTCCAGCCCTCTAAATTCCACTATACGATAAAGGGATTACCGTTTTGTATTTCTACGTTAAAGTATTCTAATTTCAAAAATTGCTCAAACTTCAGCACGTGCCTAAATATCCATCACAGAAGTTGCCATGCTAAGATGCATCTATTATTTCGTTAGGTGGCCAGGCTGTTTTATTCATTTTATTCTCTTTAGTGGGTGGTCGACAACCCTCAACTCAACATAATAATAAAATAAAAATCTTGAAATTCTCGACAAGTAAGTTTCTTGAAAGTCCCCCCCCCCCAAAAAAAAAAAGAAAAAAGAAAACAACAGCAACAACAACGTTCCCAGGTGGTCACCATTCTGACAACACCAACACCAGCACAAGGCAACATTGCTATGGGGGGAATGTGAGGAGGGGGGAGGGTGGGGAGATAAATGAAAGTTATAGAAAAAAACAAAAAGTAGTAGAGCGTGCCAAGACTTTTGCCACTTATTGTATGCTTGAAATTTTAAATTCTTCAAATAAGGATGGGGTCAATATCAGAATTTGCAAGTTTGTCAATCTCCCTTATATCTAGGTTAACATGTACAGGTCTGTATACAATTCACTTTAAGAAATCAGTGTTATTATACCTTCATCACAAGTTTGACCCCTGAATCCAGCTGTACACAAGCAGCGGTAACCTTTGTCGGTATAACCGCTTTGACAAATGGCGTTATTCTTGCAAGGAACGAAATGAAAAGAAGCTCGTGGCTAATAAGCATAAGAAAATCAGTAAAAATTCAGGGACACAGCTCACTCTCCAAGCAAGTTCTGGAATGTATGAGTATAAGAAAAGAATGTGAAATGCAAACGAAGAAAGCTCCTTTTGATCCAGGATGTTTACATGTACCTTGTCTTTTGCATAGTTTAAACTTGAATCGACTGGTCACGCTTCACTTTGACTCCAAAGCAATCTCCATTTACTGTCACACTGGAGATTTTGGGTGTGGAGATGGAGCATGGACGCCAGTCATGAAGATTGACGGCAGCAAGGTATGGTTTTAATCCATCTTGTGCGTAACGAAACTAACGTTCGATCAGTCAAAACGTGAGCCAGAAAAACCAGATAAGATAGAGCTAATCAAGAATTGCATGCTCATTTTTGTGTCAAACAAGCACGCTGTCCACCGCAAGAATAAAATATCCAGAATTGTAGCAACTGTAGCTATTTAAATGGAACACAGCTAAACGAGTCACGACAACAAATGAAATTACCCTATTAACGTTAGTTATGGCCTCTGCAAAGTTTTCTTAGTTGTTAATTTTTTGAAAGACAAGATTAACGTGGGTTAGGATCCCTATCAATTCTCTTTTTTGACAATTTGAACTCAAACATTCGAGACACCTCAAACAAAAAAATCGTGGCGAAAGTGGCTTAAAAATAAAGGATATTTCAAAAGCAGCTCCAGCTTGACAATGCACGCCCTTCATGAAACATGTAGAACCTTTAAGTCCTAAAATGGAAAGCAGCTCTTTATGTTTTCCCTCTCTTGTAGTGCTGTGATTCTAAGATTGGTTTATTTGTGAGAATTTAATCAATGCATTCCGGACGAGGTCTGAGCGGGTGTGCTTGACTAACGGTTGATTGGAGATGTCCTCGCCATCTCCAAAAGTATTCCCATTAGTTACCAAATTTATTCAAAATGATTTTAAAATCATTTTAGAGCACCTTTCACTACAGTTCAAGCTACTGGACGGATAAAATTGAATACAGCGTCTTGGGAGGAGCAACTAGACTTGATTCACTAGAGACCAAGCTACCGACCTACTGGAACACACCCTTTTCAAAGATCTGTCTTGATATGAAGATTGGGCAACAGCTGAACTTTATCGTCATCGAGAGGCAGGCTGACTCTCTGTACTCACTGATCGCTGACGGGCAATATCGCAACACATCACTGGGTCGTGAGAAGTGGAAATTGCTAATTGGTTCACAAGCCTCCTTACAGTACCATTGTGATAAGAAAGGGTTCAACGCTGTTTGTAGCTGGAGTGAAACGTCCAAAGCTAGAATTGGTATCTTGAGTAACAATGAAGATCTTTGCTCCAGTTGTGATTCCAGAATCGGCTTTGGGACGGGAGGGACTCCAGATGATTCGAACACATGCGGAAACTCCGCAGTGTACCTACCAGATAACGGTAATAAACTCATCAAGGCCATGGGATATATCTTGGTTCAGTGACATGTACACGTCGAAAAAAAAACGCTTTTTTAGCAATATAAATAATTAATGTTAAGGCGATCTTCGTATTCATTTCATAATTTGCGGTTCATATATATGCTATTTATTTATTCACAGTCATTTATTCATCACTTCACAGATTTACTACGAACCAAAATAATGACTAGCTCTCAGTTGGCTTGTTAGCTCAGTTGGTAAAGCACTGCACCGGTGCCGTACGAACTTGAATTTTTTTCAGGCATTATTGTTACTACTGCTTGAGTACTGCTCATTACTGTGAAGATCGCTTTCGTATTTATTTCTTAATAAGCAGTTCATATACATGACTTTCATTTATTCATACAGTCAGTGTAGAATTATTTTAGCAACTAAGCTACCCAGGCCACGTCAGTGGAGATTTATCACTTTCGCAAATTTAATGTTTCAGACTGATCTTACCTTTATTGTCCCTTAGTCGCCAATTACCTTATAGCTCATGAAAAAATCATAAAACGGATATAACTGGAGACACCCAGACGGGCCCTTGTCGTCGTCAATTTATTTTATTCTGAATCGGAATTGGTGTATGTACATTTGTGGAAAAGGGAAAACAGCAGGAAACAGTAAAAAAAACAAATTAATCAACGAAAACGAAGAAAAAAAAAAAAAGAAAAAACAAGCCATAGTGTCTGAGTTTACGAATGTGCATTCAACTCTCATGCTTCTTCCCTTTCCTCCATTTTTCCCGCCTCTATCATCCTGATAGGTGCGCAAAGCATTTTAGATTGATGATCTGTAATATTTGCTTCGTTATTTCGTATTTGGGGTTTTCCTGGGTTTTCCCCAGAAAAATGGCTCATTGCGTAGCTTTCGAGGGTAATAATCAGGCAAAAACCAAGCAAGATCCCAAGCTTCGCTTTTTTTGCTTCCAAAAAGACAACAGTTTACGACGCGCATGGATCCATGCTGTTGGAGAGACATCTCCTCCAAAGATTCGCGTCTGTGTTCGGATCATTGCGGGGGCAATTGCTACCATAAATCATGCCTGATGGAAGTAGGGATAGCTTTGCTTACAGGATAATGACTGGATAGGCATTTGATAACAGAGGCCCTGCAACCATGACTCTTTTTGATTAGTAACTCAGAGTGCTTTGAGCACCCAGCAAGATGGCGGACGCGGGAAGTTCGCCCTTGCCGTGAGGCGGAAGAAAATTAACTAGGTTATAGGAAAAATTCTAATTATCAAGCAAATTTTTCTATTCCACAGTCTCGTGTTATAGGTATGCCTATTCCTTTAAGACGGAGAAAACGGAGGGAAGAAGCTGTATTTGGAAATTTTACAGAAAAAAGATAAATAAAATGGACAAGAGAAAAAAAATTCACCATTTTCAGGAATTTAAAGGTAGGGCAAGTATATTCCAAGAATATTCCAAGAATGAAACGAAAAGCACCCTTTTGAAGAAGAAATTCAGGATTGAGACCTCACGGGTACCACGGGTATCACCCCACACTATTAAAGAAAAAAATGAGGAACGGGTAAATAAGAGCGTAATATAATTCGACGAGGTGTAACTGCTCCCGTTGAAGCTAGGTGTTACCGCTTCCGAGCAAAGCTGCGAAATGTTTACTGGTTAGGTTGACGCCCCCATGATTAGTTCTTTTTAGACAGAAAATTATAGTTAGCGTTTCAGTTCAAGATAAGACCCCGAGTGATCAAGATCGTTTTTGAATAGAAGACAAGTTAGACTGGTAGTCCCCGATAAAGTAATCAAGATCCGCGAACGTTGGCAAGCGATAACTTGTTTTGTGATTATGTTATCTAGCTCGTAGTTGTTACTCAAAGCGAAATTTATCGCTCGTTTTTACCTTTCTTTTAGTTCCTTTAATTGTCACGGGCTCGTTTCCAAAATCGCGTTTATTCTTAAGCTATGATCTCAATACTTAGGTGATTTCTTTACGAAATAACTTCAGTTGACCGCTTCGATATAATAAGGCCCCAAGGAATAGGGAAGGGATAAAGAAAGAAAACATCCCATATTGCTTTGGTGTTCATCGCATGCGCGTGTATCAACCTGGGAATCGAATTTGCAACTCTAGCTTGAAAAGAAACATTTACAGAGGGTATTAGTATTAACAGGTGATATTATTTTAGAGATTAATCCATTATTACATTATTTTTTTTAGTGATACGTGCAACATGAAATTTACAACAAAGATGAGCGTTAAGCCGCACTTCAAGATATTTAATATAATTTTCCTCATTTAAGAATTTACCATTTATTGATAGACTAAGCTTATGATCTTTTCCTGTCTAAATAAGTTTAGATTTTCTTACGTTGTATCTAATTCCTTTTAATTAGCGGGAGCCCAAGCTATTCTTGATTCTTGAAGGATCCTTATAAACCTAACAATCTGTAAAAGTTTGAGATAAATTGATGAGATGGAATGAGTCACACCTGCCTGGTCCTATCTTACACAAACTCTTGAGTCCTGGCTTGTGTGCTTTTCCGACACAACTAACCAAATTGTTCTCCTTAAATGTTAAAACATTATTTTGATGGAGTTGGTATTTTCAGCCAACTCTGCCCACGAGACTAATAAAAATCATTTATTGTATCACCAGGCTCTAATATTACCATCTCTGTTTTTCTATTTACTCACACTAGGGCAAAAACAAAAAACTCTCTGGTGAGCCTAGCAATTGCCAGGTTGAAATGTGACACGCGCCTTGCGAATTATCAAGATGAGCAATTTCGTAAGGTTAGTGTGAATAAATATACTAAGGGAGATGGATGATGATCCCGGTAAGAATATGACGAAAGTTGTTTTTCGTCTCGTGAGCAGAGTTGAATGAAAATCCTACATCTTTTGGGAAAACATGATATACAGAGAACATTCTGATTAAGATTTCCACGGGAAAGCATTGAAACCATGCCTGAAGCTCCCTCCATGGAAGCGACGTCTTCGGACGGAAAACACGACAAAATGTTTCCAATTCGCACGAGAATAAGGACAAAATTTTCTTTCTCAACGCCTTAGCATTGTTTTCTAGTGTAACGCACACGGAGCTCCACTGAAAAACAATAGCAAAACCTTGTTCCCTTATTAAAATTTCGAACCGATTTACATTTTCATTTTGTTTATCGTTTCCGAATTGTGTTCATGAAATGCAATCGGTACGCTTTGCGTCCCGACTTACATGTTTTGCTGCAGCCCAGTTTAAAAGCTGTCTTTAAGTTAGATAGCTATTTTTAATTTCATATTAGTTCTTTCAAGTGACCTTTTAGACAACGGTGAACAAGTTGTATTTTCTTTGTCCAAGGAGTGAGTCCAGTTCTAATAAGATGACAAGGTCTAAGATAAAACAAACCACAATAAGAAACTCGATAAGTGCTTGTTTAATTTGAGTCGATGGCCGCTTGGCTCTTTTGTCTCTTCATCTTGCATCATCTGTGTACAATTCAACTGTCGCGCAATCTGGCAGACCTTCCTTTCGCGCTTAAGTCTCAGCTTTCCATTACACTACGAAGGAAGAAAAATTATTTGATTGATATACAGATTCAGAAATACATTCCATTTTCAAAGTTTAAATTACTTTTAAGGGTTTTTGGTTAATGAGCAGCTCAGTTTTAGTTTGAATCACTCTCAGGATAACGCGGCGAAGGGTTTACTGGATCTATATGAGCTGAATTTACCAGCCTACATTGGGGGTGTACATTTCCACGGTACATACCACACTCCCTTCCGGACATGATAATCCTATGCCGTCAGATCCTTGGATAAGGAGCACAGAGAGCAGAAACAGAATACTGAACGTAACTCTTGCTTCCATCGCCTTGTGAAGTTTCATTCAGGTTATGGTGCCTGGTTGGATCACTTTGATGCTGCAGAAACGTAACTGGGCTTTTATGGAGTAAACAGCGTTGAACACGTGTATCGTTGTTTGTTAAGCAACGAACCAATTTTGATCACTTCCTCTCTTGGTATAAAAATAAGATAATAAGTTCTAAGTAATTAGGCATCTACGTGACGGCCGCAAATGTATGATATACCTAATGTACTCTAAACACAATCACATTGATAATGATTCAGTTCAGAGTGGATCAAATCATCTCTGATCCGGTTGTCTTTTTCCTTTTACCTATCCACCTGTGCTCTGCATTTGGTTAATGCACAGCTCGATTTTAGTTTTACTCACTCTACTCCTCTCAGGATAACACGGCGAAGGGTTTACTGGATCTACATGAGCTGAATTTACCAACCTGCATTGCAGCCGTACATTCCCACGATACATACCACACTTCCTATTGGACATGATAATCCTATGCCGTCAGATCCTTGGATAAGGAGCACCGAGAGCAGGAAGAGAATACTTAACGTCACTCCAGCTTGGATAATGAGTTTTAAGTAATTGGGCATCTTCCTGGTTACTCGTCGGTAAAGGTTGACGGCCGCAAATGTATGATATACCTAATGTACTCTAAAAACAATTACACTGATAATGATTCAGTTCAGGTGGGATGAAATCATCTCTGACCCAGCTGCGTTTTTCCTTTTACCTATCCACCTGTGTTCTGCTGCATTCTGCGTGAGTAATTAGGTATTATAGGAGTTGGCGGTACGATATCACAAAGTGATCACGTACAAAAACGCCAACTCTCTACACTACTTTACATATTTTGGAAATTATTTGACGAGATCATTTCATGAAATCATCGGGATGTTAGAGTAGTTTTTTGAATAATATATATTTTTCTATACTATAGGAGATTAGCGATATGATCTCACATCATTTTCCCATTGCATGACTTTATGTTTCAATACTTTCCTGGTATTGTGTGACATTCTCGGACAAACAGGATGGAATTATCAGACTAAATGCTCAGACACAAAAAAAGTGGTTCCCTCGGAATTGATATAGTAGTTCCCCACGCCTCGGAATTGGTATACTGGTCTCCCACGCATCGGAATTGATTTAGAGGTTCCCCACGCGTCAGAATTGATATTGTGGTTTCCCTCGC